AAAAGACTTAAAGGAATCTTGCGCGGAAAATTCTTGCACTCTTTCCTAACATGAATATGTCAGTTGTGATCACTGGAAATAGCACACAAAGTTTCACGCATGAAGATTCGGTTTCTGAAGAGAAACAAACGTACAAAAACTACACGTTATGGACCATCGAAGGACCAGGAGGCAGAGCCAGGCGAGGCATGGAAAGAAGACGGCGTTTGGCCGGCTACGTACCAGGACGCAATGAGAGAATCGGGTTAAAGCGCGCGATTTCGGAGAGTGGAGACAAATCGATCGATGGAATAGGATGGAGTAGAAGTGTAAGATGTGAATGCAACGAAGCAGAAGGCCAGAAAGAGCTTCTAGTGAATGCACTCCAAGAACCAAGTTTGAGCATCCCCGTCGCCAGCATTCGTGAAAGACGTCCGTGGGCAATTCGAACGCGTAGCAGCCTTTTCGAGTTTTCGAATTTCTAATCAAAACGAAAGCAATACTTCAGTTCTTTTCACTATTATCGTGGATAATGAGTCTCAAGCCAGTGATTTATGGCTGAAATAGAATCATGATTTTTCCGCGCAAGATTCCTTTAAATTAATTTTCTGAATGTCATCAATTTGGAAGGGCTACCCGAGGAGCTGCACCGTTCAGCGCAGGTGGAATGAAATGCGAATATTCTGGCGCCATGGGGTAAATGAAAAGATGAGTAGGGCAGCTGTGTAGAAAGGGTTTCGATAGAGGCCTAAAAGCGTGTAAAGCAGGCAGAGCATACGAAAGGCGTCGAATGCTATAGATGGTGCAGAAGCTCTGAAGAGCCGTGAGAGCTCATACGGCGGAGAAGATCCTACGTCTTCAGTAGTGCCTGGTAGTGTTCACATTTCACTTGACTGGCGCGTGAACAGTATTTCACAAGAAACGTCTCATGGATGACTTCGAATGAACATGACTTTCTGCGCAACGTCCCTCTAATAAGGAAACTGAAGCGTAGAAGGCGGTCGTTTTCAGTTTTTAGCCATAGGTAGGGGCAAGCATGAAGACGCACGTAGATGTCACGGTGATCCCGTTTTTCGGCGCCATGACCCTGTGCTACGGTAAGCTGCTCCTTAGCTGAATTTGTAGCATGTTTGTTTTGCTGAAATAATCTGAAACTTGTGTCATTATTTTCCATCACTATGTTGGGAGAGTATGTGCGCGGAATCCTTGGCAGGATCATCTAGCGCCCTGACCTCTCATTGGAGCACACATTTAGCCTTTCAAAGACAAGAATGCGAAAGGGGCGGAGTCCACCGATCCCGAGCGGAGCAAACTCCGCCCCCACAGAACTTCAAAGCTGTAGATATCAATGCGTAAGGTCCAACTGCGGATACAGTTAGGTTTCTACTTGCACTTCAGTTGGTACCACCCCATTTATCCCACGCAAGTTGCATCGTTAAAAGAGCTTGGGCGCTTAACCTCTATTGTTTGGTACACCATTTTGGATAAATACGAAGTGAGAGTCAAGTTTTGGTGCTAGAGGGTTACCCTAACTCATTTTTGAATCTTTACAGCTTACCGAGACAGGCCTATAGTTGCATATGTATGAATCACAATTAATAGTTAAATGTCAAAATTGATTTATTAGTAGATCAGTATTTCTTTACTAAGTCTGATTTTTTCACATGTTCCCACTGGACTTTTCAGGGAGCAGACGTCACCAACAACAGCGAAGCCTCCAAGTGCAAGTATGGAGGGAACTTCTACTGCAAGCACAAAGAAAGTGGCTGAAGCCAGTACTGAGAAGCAAATGGCAGCTACAGCTGAGACCACTGCTTCAGAAGCTGCTTCTACTCGCACTACGGCCACCACCACATCGTCACAGACGGCACCATCCTCTGAAGTGCGAAGGGCGCCAGTAGCCACAACTTCGATTAGTACAACCGAGAAGCAAGATCCCACTACTGCTAGAACGACCGTCAGAGCTATTCATCCGGTCACTTCGCGTGCACAGACCTCTTCTGCGTCAACCACTGCGTCTAGAACAACCAGATACACTACACCTGCTCCAACTACAACAGCTAGGACCACTACTACTACAACCACGCCGAGTACTACTTCTACCACCACTACGACGATGAGCACTACACGTTCTACAACCACCACAGCCTCCACTACGGCGACCGCTGCACCTACTAGGAAAGTCCAAATTCCGTTAGAAGAGCTTCGTCCTCTTCCGGACCTATCCCATAGCGAGAACAAGGTTGTCACGAATGGAAGAGAGCCAATAGAACTAACAACTACGACTACTCGCTCAGCAAAGACACACCCCAAAATGAGGGTCGAATCATTCGCCGAACCAAGGGCTGCGGAGTCGGAAAGCATCTTTTCGCCTGCGATGAGGGATGAACAACAGCCAAAGACCAGAAAATCTTCAGGAGAATCTTCTAAAAAAGCATCGGGAGACGAGAAGAAAGCCACTTCATCTCTGATCTCAGTGTATGAGGTGACAACACAAGCTGTGAAAAACAGAGAGGTCAGTTTATAGTTATCGATTGAAAATTTCTCCGTTGGGAACTAAAGTTTTTTGTGTTCCAGTCTCAGGAGGAATGGAAGGCTCCCGTGCCGTGGTGGTCAGCCGTCATTCTCGGATTCCTCGTGGCAGTTATTACTGCATGGGTTGTCGTTTTCATCATAAGAAAGTACGTTTTCTTATTATTGTAGTTTTGGGAGAAATAGATTTGGGGGAGGGGCAATTGGTTGGCTATGCGTCCCTAGCACTTTGGGATGAGGGTAAGCACTTTAGCGCTAAAGATAAGGGTGATACTAAGCAATACAATTTCAAGTATACTGTTTGACAAGGACCGGTGAAGTGTGGGAGTACCCATGAGGTATTTTTAAATTTAGCCCTTGAGTGGAGCGGAAAAACGCTCCAATGCCAGGAAATGAAATAGGTCCATTACTTGCTATTAACGGACCTCTCCTTAGGGCTGGAGGCATAGAAGTCCCAATTTCATCTATTTTTCTTTAAATTTGCCAAAAAAGTTGCGCGATGTGAAGTTTTTTTTTGAGAAATTTGATGTGGCTTGTTTCGCAGCAGTCTAGAGTAATGTTTCCATAACAGCGGAGTTTAGTACATTTTTTTTCAATTCGCCGCCAATTTCTAACGCGACGAGATTGTTATGGAGGGATCCTGATGACTAGCCCGAGACTGGTTTTCATACCGAGTAGTGTATCAATACTATAAACTTTTGAGTTCTGCCCTTTTTGACCGAAGGACTTTTGGAGAAGAAGTACGCAATGGAACCGTTCGCTAAAGGAAAACAAAAGAGCGCTACCGCAACTTACGGGGGATATGGTCGGTCAATGCATTGGAAAACGCTTAATCATCCCCCTTTTGTTCAAAACAGGGCTAAGACTTGCGCGGGGTTGAGAGATTCAGAGTGATGAGACTTGTGAGCAATTTTCATTCCCCCAGAGATCCTGCCTCCTAGTCCAAGTCATAGATAACGTCCCTTATCTTGCAATAAGCACCAAGGCATCTGTCGTTTTCAAACTGCCACCCGCTCTAACTCTACGCTCTCCTAGCGGCCGGAGACGTGGAGCCTTATACTTAATGCTTTCTGTCTCCATATCCAATGTGCGTCTCGTTAAGCTCCGCTCACTAAACGTACATTTTTTCAATTCGCCGCCAATTTCTAACGCGACGAGATTGTTATGGAGGTGGATCCTGATGACTAGCCCGAGACTGGTTTTCATACCGAGTAGTGTATCAATACTATAAACTTTTGAGTTCTGCCCTTTTTGACCGAAGGACTTTTGGAGAAGAAGTACGCAATGGAACCGTTCGCTAAAGGAAAACAAAAGAGCGCTACCGCAACTTACGGGGGGTATTGTGGTGGCAATGCATTTGAAAACGCTTAATCATCCCCTTTTTGTTCAAAACAGGGCTAAGACTTGCGCGGGGTTGAGAGATTCAAGAGTTGATGAGAATTGTGAGCAATTTTCATTCCCCCAGAGATCCTTGCCTCCTAGTCCAAGTCATAGATAACCGTCCCTTATCTTGCGTAGCACCAAGGCATCTGTCGCTCTCAACTGCCACCGCTCTACTAGACGCTCTCCTAGCGGCCGGAGACGTGGAGCCTTATACTTAATGCTTTCTGTCTCCATATCCAATAGCGTTTGGTTAAGCTCGGCTCATGGTGCCAGAATAACTGAAACAGGACGTCCAAAATGAAACGATTTCATGGCAGGCATAAGCTTTTTCTTCATTGGCGTTTGTCCCGCTTGTTGGCGGGGATAAGCCGGGCGTTTGAATTTTATTCGAATCCGCACAGGCTTTCAAAGGCGTGGGCGTCCTATACAATGTCTTGCAGCGTAGTTTCAAAAGAGTTAGTTGCCTGCAAAATTATTTTTACAAATAGGGCCAATCAGTCGAACCTTTATGGTTTGAAGAAATCGCTCCCTGGGGAGGGCGCGACCCCCTGGCTAGCTTATTTATAGCGTGCCATATCGGCCACAGCCATACTTCCTTCCGTAGAAGTGAGGTTACTGAGAGAGCATTTATTGATATTTCACATTTTTTTTCGCACACCAGAGGCATTTATTTATATTTAGAAAAAAATCGGCTAGTTTCAGCATAGTAATATGCTACAGAAATCCAGTAGACGCTATCGCAGGACGCAGGGTTATCAAGTGGAGAACATAGGAGGGGATCTTCTATATGTATTGCCATTACTGTGCCCCCGTATCTTGCCGTAGCGCATCATAATAAATTTCGAAAGCTTGCTTTTATGCCTTCACATTTCTGGTTCATAGCCTTACTCTTCCAGGAAAAGAGCACGAGAAACTGAAACTCCTAACAGAGCTACTGAAAAGGAGCAAGGACTCGTCGATCCGCTGCTAAGAGCTTCTGAGGAAAATTCTCGTCACTCGGATAATTCTCGCATTTGAATTTTTAGCCAAGCTACCAATTACCATATGCTTTCATTACTAACATGTTCTGCCGTTACTAGTTAGTATTCGGTGTATCGATTTACTGTACTGCCTATACCAATTTGATTTGAGCTTTTATGATATGCAATTTTTGTTGACGATGAAAGGGTACGTGCATCAACTATGTATTCTGTGTATTTTGAATTTTTAGTATATATTTTTCATGTGATCAAAGTGTAGCTTTAAATCCGCGGTATCATATCGTTCCACCGAATCAGGTTGATAACGATTGAGAACTCACTAAACTGTATGTCGGTTGTCTGTTGTTGATATTGATTGTAGTACGAGATGAAGTATTCCACTAGTACATTCTAGTCCTATCAGCTCAGTCAACTGGTAGAACTTCAGGGTAAACCGTATAGCACGGCCTAACTCAAGGTATATACGACAAGCAACCCCTTGTGTTCGGCAGGACTTAGCTCGAGCGTCCCAATATCCAGTCCCAGATGTGCAGGTAGCAGAGAGGAGGTGGATCTGTAAGCTACTAACGGCGAAAAAGGCAAAAAATCCGAAATTGTTCTAGTTCAACGAGGTTTTCTGAATTCTAATTGGATATCCTTCACATGCCCTCAGGATGTACGAGCTCGCTTCCTCAAATTATACCTCTCCCTCTTCGAAATTATAAAATAGGACTCTCGACCTACGCTGAATGGGTGCGCTGGCGGTTGTGTCCATGGTAAAAGTAGCTCTGAGCTTCAGACGATGATAGGCTTGGATGATGTGGAAGGATCAAGTTTTACTTCAGCAGGGGCTCTACAAAGTGTGTTAAACATTTCACTTCTTCTTGGGAAGTGTTCCCACTAAATACCCTCTGCTTCAGGAAACCAGAAGCGCGTCGAGTGCACAGCACACACCACAAGTGACGACTACCATCTTGCAATTGGTGTTTCATAGTGATAGCTGATAGGTGGTAAATGAGAGTTGTAATTAGTGAAACTGATAGAATACAACTGCAACAGGCTAATCATTTCATTGGCAGAAAACATTTACATTTTGTGGAGGCCGTCGTCACTTGTGGTGTGTGGTCTGCACTCGACGCTCTTCTGGTTTTCTGAAGCAGAGTATATGTTAACTTTACAATTAGCATGGATAAATGAACGGCTATTACAATATGAAGCGCCTGTTCGCCAAGGGTAGGAACCCTAACCTGTTGTACAGATTCAGGGGCGTTTCAAGATAATGGGTGAGAGGGGAGGGTGAGTTCAGCTTCATTAAGTTTTCTAGTAGATTGCAGGGGAACACAGCTTGACGCGCTTGCCACAGAATTAAAATAAGGGCTGATTCTTAGAAAGGGAATGGTCGGGCTAGTTGGGGCCTGAAGATCTTCACTCTTCAATTATGATGCCGGCAGGAAAGCTTGCCGTCAAGATAGGACTTCGTTAACAAGTGGAAAATAGTCGGCTGGCATTTGCTGTGAAATATTCCAAGATTAACTTTCGCTTAATCTTTGCATGGAAGCCTCACGCGTGTATTTTGCAATAGCCTCTCCAAAGCACAGTACTTTTTGTTGGACTTACGTTTTGGCCTCTCCAGAACACAGTACTTTTTATTGGACTTACGTTTTGGCCTCTCCAGAGTTGGGAAAATATTTTTAACACCTGGTCTTTATTCAAGCACGAGGACTGAAAATATATAAGCTGCATAGATTAATAGCCGTCTATCAATTTGGTCAATCACTGACCCTATTTGCTGAAGAGTTTTGGGGGTGTGAGTTCGAGCAGTCTGTGACTGCCATTTTGAGGTCATCATGAGTTTTGAACCCTCCTGAACGTGCTTTAGCGACCAAATAAATGAAAGCCAGAAAGTGCAAGGTCCGCGGAATATGCTCACTAAAACATGGCACTAAGCTTTTTGCTGTTTGGCTGTTGTGCCCCGTCTTGGGATCAAATGCTCGATTGCAGAGAAAAACGTTGATTACGTGAATTTCGGGTCCTCTGGTCTTGAAACCTTGGCATGCTCGTGTCACACTTGTAAATTTTTTATACTTCTCCCTTGAGCTGCGTAGGTGGAAAATTCTACATTCTTCTGAATTGAAATCGATTACAGCTCACAAATTCGAGGAGCCGTCTCGGCGCAATTCAATATCAAACCTGATAATAAATGCATTGAAAATGGATGAATGGTGGATTCGAGCAGTAAGTGCAGTATTCACGTTGAAACGTTTTCCCACATAAGAAAGGACACGTAGCTCAGATTCTGAGGAAAGGGACATATGGTGGACTAGCGCAGTAATATATCTTGTTGCAGCTGTAGAAAGGATTCTGCCCCAGAAGTTGGCGATGGTTCCCGAGACAAATGCTTAAAATCCTAGAAAACGGAAGGAACACGATGAATTCGGTCAGTATCTTCACTTACAATCCTTCCCGCATCGTCTTCTCTACTGCTCACAAAACTATTTTTTATTATAGCGCAAGAATTGGACGGAATAACGTAAAGTATTTCAGTTTATTTACAGTTTTAGTCAGCATATTTGGCAATGATTACTTGTTGTATTATTAATTATTACATTGGCTGTTGATACATATTATATTCCATGATTTTTTGGGGTAAGCAGTTTTGCTTCCGTAAGGCGAATCGTAACTTAAAATTTTTAATGGTTCTAAATTTAGCCTAACTTAAGCCTGGGTGCATTTGGCCTCCTTTTTCTCGCCCACCATGCATCAAATCCAACTGAGATTTAAGTTTACTGGTTTGTGTGGCTCGACAAACAAAACACCTTATCCAATACGGCTATGTTTTCGGAAAATAAACAGGTTCAATAAACACGCTCAAGTATTCTATCTAAAAATCACCCAATTCAAATAGGAACTCCATTTTTGCTATGGCACTTAGGGCTTTTTCACTATCACGAAGTCCTTCGGAGATTTGCCCTTTGATGCATATTTGTAGATCGGCTTTTCCAGAATGCAGCCGAAACTTTTCTATAGCGTTTTTTATAATATTTACTTTCGTAGCCATTTAGAAGACTTCGCCAGGGCATCTCGAAACTTCTCGTCTTGAGGGATACCCATAATTCACCGAAACTACATGGAATTTGCAACACGTGCCACTTTTCTGAAAAAAAATTTGTGGTTCATAATTACTGATTACACCACTGAAATTAACACATAGCTTGATTTCTCTTTGTCTCGAATGATTAGAATACTTGCGGAACTGTCTTGGTGATGCCGAAACGGTATGTAGAAGTTTAGCCTGCTGTTCGCCTCATTGGTAAAGAAAAAGTATAAAAATGGAAATTTCCGCCGGAAGAAATGCATTTAAAAATTGCGATTTTGTCAAGTTTTAGAGCTACTTCAGTTCATATGCGGCTCGCGCAGAGAGTTCGAAGCGGAATATCTTTCAAACAGGTCCTCTAGAACAATTAACCACATGTGAACCTGGGTAGAACTTGGAAAGGTTGCGCTGAAATCACTCTCACAATTGTTCAGCGTAATAACTTCGTAGCAGAGGTTCCTGTAACAATTATGAAGAGTAATTAAGCGTAGGACGGAGTACTTTTCCTGAGGAGGATGATGTGGGATGCGGCATGCATTTTACTTCCATTTGTACATTCGTGGTGGCATTTGAATACGATGTTACCTAAACAATGACTTGCGGTGCCGGCCGATTTACAAGTCAGTGTTCTCCCAGACAAGTCTGGTACCAATTTACCGACCTCGGAGGGATGGAAGGCTTGGTTGGCCCGGACGACGCACGACCCAGGATTTGATCCCCGGACCGCGCGCTTGGTAAGCGTGCCACTTGCCTACACCACTACCGCCCAAATTGATGTTACATTGGTTGAATTTTTTTGAAATTTTCATAGCAAATCAAGGAGATCAGCTTTAGTACACATATTTTCGAATTGTTAAGTAGCTGACCAGTGAGCTGGAAGGTGACCGTTTCCCTCATTCCTATCGGAGCTGAGCTTTCGTGATTTGCAATCCTGGGCTCGACGTCGACGGTGCAGCGGAAATGGAAGATTAGCCAAAGATAGGTTTCATTTACTGGAGTGGTGGATTCTGCATTATTCCAGATTACGCTTCACAATGGATTCATTCCTGAGACGGCAGCTGGGCGAGCCGAGTTTGACGAGCTCTGAAAATTCCTACGACCTTTCGCGAAAAGGGGGATTCATAATCGGAGATTTTCTGTTTTTTTTACGCTATATTGGCTAATTAACGTCATTGCTGGGGGCAGTCAGTTCTAGTTTCACAATCAAGTAAGATAAGATAATTGATGTAGAACCTGGATAGTCGTGGGACCCTAATAGGGTTGAGAAACTAGTGTTAGGCTCAAATGGAGGAACCGTTCATTTAGAGGAAGGATCCCATGGTACGAACGAGGGCCAAAGAAGTGGAAACTTACCTTGTGGGGAAGACAGGCGGACCCCCTAAGTGTGAGGACCGATAGGGATTCACAGCTAAGAATATGCCCCCCCCCGCGAGCTTGTGTAGCCCTAAGCGCGACGCTATCGATGCGGCACGCCCTACGATTGGGTAACAACCACTCGCCGCAGGTCTCTGGACGTCTGGCATAGAGAGCATTAACGTTGAAGAGAGCACAACGATGAGAGTTACATCAATGCACAACGGCAAGGAAGGGGTCCCATTTCTCGGGTTTCCGGGCCGTTTCACATGGTTTCTTCTTCATCCCTGCTCCACTGACCACCTCTACCCTTATTTCCAATGAGCTACCTTTTCATTGTAAAATCCGCCCTTAATTTCCTTGGAAGTGCAACTGTTGTGGACTACGATGTTTCCCTAACCAGCGTAGGTGTCAAAATACGTTCGCAACTATTGCCATGTCAGCATTTACATGAAACAACGGCCTCTTAGCCGAGATTACAGCGAAACAATGGATCACCAGGTGCAGCTTAAAATAAATGGCATGAGCGCCAGGGCGTGGAATGCTGTCTGGAGCAACAGACGCAACAAAAAGTACCCAAAGGCTTGTTGAAAACAACTGAGAGCTATCCT